TTTTTTTTTTTTTGGCTTATTTTTCTATGTAGAATCATCTCCTTGTCGGTTCTACCGTAAATAATTTCAATATTTACTTCTCACATTCTCTTTATCTTCTATATCTATAGATTGCATACAGTGTCAATACTATACTGTGACACTGCCAACGCTACTATCAGTGTCAATCATCTACACTTTAAGTACAAAACACCGTCCACCAAGAAGCTCATTTACGAAGGTAATTCTATAACGATTTCCAAACTTTTCATGCATTGTTCGTGACAGTTTCATTTATTCTGATTTGCTTACTGAGATATATCCATCGTTTGTTGATGCCTAACTTAGCTGTCGCAGCCTCAGGAGCTTGCAAGCTCGCACCACGACAATTAACGAGGAAGGTAGGTACATCAGGAATTGTCTGCACTTATTTTCTTCCTGCTTTCTTGAATCTGAATTGATGATGAGAGTGAAAATCAATGAGTAGCAATGCAACTGAAATGATGTTTCTATATTTCTCGCTATCTTTGAAGAATTTGCTTTTAATTCTGTTACGATCCTTGAACTTTTATATTTCAATCTTGCTCTCATTTTAGTAAACAAAAGGGAAATTGTAAAACAAATTTTAAATATAGAATATAACGAGAAATCACATAATTAACATATATATACTGTATATACTGTATAACAGTATATACTGTTCAAATAGAGGATATTTATTATATATATAAATATTATAATCAAAAGAATGTAACAGAGTTAAAAATCTGAAACTGTATGCAATTCATATGTTAGTGATGTAACTGTGAATGCATCTCAAAGCGATGTTTCTATTATTTGATAGAATGTAAAAATACTCGTAAGGAAGATTTTGCAACTATTAATCGCTGATCTTCAAATTTTCAAAGTAGATGGCTTTCGGAAAAAAAAATTATTTGAGCCATTTCTAAATGACGTTGTTCTGTCAATTCAAGAAATTTCAAAAACGAATGTATACTATTTTTATCAGTTTCTCTATTTTTTTATTTAGCAAATGAGCGGCTCATGAATAACATTTAATAAAACACGTAATACATATCTATGATAATAAATGATAGTAAGAAAAGTATACTTTAATCGCTGAGCTATTACATCATCGTGTAAATTGATATGTGATTGATATGAGATTGATAAGATCATTATCGAATGAAAATGTGTATACATATGTTTGAGTTCGAAAAGCTTGAGCGATTAGTGTAGAATCTGGATCGCTATTCATTACTGCAATCCTCTCAAAAATAAATACATGATTTCTGTGTTTGATAATGTAATAAAGGACTATATAGTGGTGGAAGAATGGAACAATCGTTTATAAGGACAAGATCATCAATGGTACAATATTACCAAGACATTACAATCAATTAGATATGGTAGGTACCACATAATTCGAAAGGCACAAATAGAAAGATAATAGCTTATAAAAGACAATGATTAAGATTACAAAATATTTCATTTTTTAACTTAGTTGAAAACATGGTAATTTTTTTTTAACGAAGCTTGACAATTTCTTTAGCAGAGAGTAATTTGTCTTTTGTTGTGTCTGATTAAAGCTAATTCATTTATTATATTATTAATGATGAGTTTCAAATGATTCTTCTGTCTTGATCTTAAGAGGATTGATTTCGCATACTGTTTTTTTTTTTCAGTGAAGAAACTGTTAATTTTGCCTTGAAATTTGTGCTTGTTCATTTTAAATTCTATTTTGGGAAAAGATAATTCTTATCAGATCATCAAATCTTCATAAATAATATTTATAGGAAAGTAATCACTATGATGACGTTATTTATTATCCATTCCAGTTTGTTACTATATATTCAGCTGTCACTAAATGATGATAGTAAATAAAGCGTAATAGTAAACGAGCTGGATATTCTCTTGGTGGTTATTTCAAAATAAGTTATTCATGACTTGTATTTTAGATATAAATATATAAAGTAATAAATAACTGATTTATAGTAATAGTAAGTTTATAGCATGAATCAATTTAAGATATTCATTGTAGTAATTAATATAAACATGTGGTCGCAAAATTAAGTACACACATAATATTGTAAATTAAGTACACATAATATAGTAATAAAATTAAAAATTTCTTAATAAATTATATATACATATATATATGTATTACTAGCAAACAAATAATCATGAATTACTTAAATATTATGTTTAATTATATACTGCATATTGTAGAAATGTTTCTATTAAATACTAAATTATTAACATAAATTATATATATATATACAATTATGTGACAAATTTGAATTATAAAAAAATTGTTTATTTTATAGTTTTTAAAGTATATAGATTCTTAGTTTCATAAGTAACTGTACATAATCATAAAATATATAGTTTACGTAAATTTTGAATTATTGAAAACTATAAGATACAACACATTCATATTTTTAATTTCAAACTTTTACTAGTTTTTGCACATTGTGTACATTTTGTACGTTTGTATATGATAAAT